TAAAATTTATTTAAACTATAACATCTATTTTATAACATATTTCTAGTACTTTAGTATATTCTTGTCTATTTTTCAAACTTCTAATTCAAATAATTTGTATAGGACTACAATTAGTTTATTAGTATATTAGGTTGATCTAATATTTTTTTTTTTAGTTTATTTTAGTAATCTGATTGATGATATCTTTGAGATTTCTAATTCAAAACTTCTTGTTTGTCTAGGTACTTTGATATTAATATCTATTTTCAATAATCTAATCTTTATAATAATACTATTAAAAATCTATGCTATTTTTCTATTCAGATCTCTTCAAATAGACTTTTTGTTTTCTAATTTTATTGAATTTATATAATTATAAGAACTTATCAAAGTTTGCATTGTTTGATGCCAATTTATATTTCTCTGTATAACCAGTTACACAGATGCTCTATAACCTGCTAGTTATGCTAATATGATCATTGTTACAAATATCTTAATTCAATTATTAAAAACAATCATTATAATATAAAATTTACATAGGTAATTATACAAATTTTTGCCATCAATGAGATTTGAACACCCAAACTACCACTTAAAGAGTTGATAACTTATCCACTTCACCAAATTATTATACCTCTAATACATTGTTCAAAGTTATTTATTTTAAAATTAATTATTTAAACAAAATTAATTAAATATTTAATTAACAAAATTTAATTAAGCTGTTAAAATTAAAAATGTGTTAGATATAAAATTTATATATTACTACAGTTATAACTTATGAAGAAAAACTCTAAAAATTACTTTTGCAACAAACCTTTGACAAATCAAAATCTTAACTAAATTACATATTCCTAATTTGATATAAAATTATAATTAATTTATATCCAAATTATTTACATAATTTACATTTAAATATACTTATTTCGTCATACTAATCATGTTTCTTTTGCCATCCTATTATTTCGTCATTTATTGTATTTATTTTGTCATCCTGTTGATTTTATTTGGCAAAGCAAAGAGGGTCTAAAGAAATTTTCTTATTGTGGTTCACTAAATAGTTTGTATTTCTATTATTCGAATTTTATTAGTATTAACTAAAAAATTAATATAATGTATTGAGTTAGTATTGTATTTACTTAAATCGAATTGTAAATATATGAATAAATATATCTTACTCAAAGACTTTTTAGATCCGAATATAGTCAGAATAAAATTATAGTCCGATTGTTTGTAGATCACGCCAATGTCAAACCAATACCGTTGGACCTCTTGAACATAATGCAAGTCCTTGCTATGTTTTGAACAATAATATATATATAACTATAAAAAAACTTAAAACCTAAATTTAAGAACTAGAAAACTATATATTAAAAACTATTAAAATAATAAAAAAACCTGAGACCTAACCTCTAAAGTATCGCTAAGACCTAAAAGCTAGAACTATTTATTAAAATTTTAAATTATAAAAAAATTTGAAACCTAACTTTTGAAGCAACACCTAGGTTTAAGAGTTAGAAAATTATAAATTAAATATTACTAAACTATAAAAACTTTAAGTTTTATTTTTTGAACCAATATTTGAATCTATAAACCAAAAAACTACAAATTAAAAAACTAAAAGAAACTTGAAACCTAACCTCCTGATCTAACTGTTTATTTAAAACCATTTAAACTATAATATTTTAAGTTTTATCTTTAAATAATATTTGGATCTAAAAGCTATAAAAACTTATCTGGTTAATTTAAGAAGTAACCTATCCAAAACCCGTGTAACAATATTTTGTCAATATACAATCAAACCGAATTTTCATCATGCTTTACACAAGCAAAAAATAATAATTAAACCCATCTCTTCTAACTTTGAAGAAGTGCTAACGATTACTATACAAAATAATCCCAATTATTCCACACCTTGAAGTAACTCATTTACAAGGTGAAATTTCTATGTATACTGTAATTATAGAACTATATGTAATTTCTAAATCATTAAATATATCCAGGTTATTGAAAGAAAACTAACTACAAACTTTTTTTAAAATAGGTAAAGTGATTTCTAAGCCAAGTTAGAGTTTTAAACATAAAGAATATTAATACATAAGAATAGAATTAGTAATAGGTAGAGATGGGCTATGTGTGGGATGCGCGGGTTTTTTTGGATCCCGCACGGGATTTTTAATATGAGATTATTTGGCCTGCATTAACATTAATGGGCCAATTTCTAAGACTAGGGTAAAATCGCCACCCAAAAAAGTTTCGAACGTCACGTAACAAATATGTCGAGCACAAAATCCATGTAGTTTGCTTAACAAAAAAATACAACCAAAAACATTTAAACGATAAGTAATAAATTAATCATTTTATTTATTTCGAATAACTCAATAAATGTATTATTTATTATCGCAAGGTGAAAAATGATTTTTTACATGAATTTTTTTAGTGATCGATATATTTTTCACGTGATGCCCGAAACTTTTTTGGGTGGCTGTTTTACCCTGTCTGTATTTCTATGTAGAACTTTTTATTTATTTATCATTCTATATTTATATGCGTATATTTGATTAAATTTTTTTTTGCCGTTGGTAGTTCTTACTTACTATTCCTTGTAATAATAAATATAACCATTATTAAGTCATTCTTTAAACAACATTATTATAACATGGGTGTTAATAAACTGATAAGACATCATTTTGAAATGCTAAATATATTTAAAATATATTATTTTAACAAGAAATTATACTTCTAGTAATTATCTTTATATATTTTTTTATAATTCATGAAAAATTAAAAAACTTTACTATATTCCGCGAATCCCGTGCGGGATTTTTAAAAAACTGCGATTTGCCCATCACTAATTCGTATACTTGGTTAAATTTTTTTTGCCGTTGGTAGTTCTTACTTACTATTCTTTTATAATAAATATAACCATTATTAAGTCATTCTTTAAACAACATTATTATAACAAGGGTGTTAATAAACCGATTTGGCATCATTTTGAAATGCTAAATGTATTTAAAATATATTATTTTAACAAGAAATTATATTTCTAGTGATTATCTTTATATATATTTTTATAAATTATGAGAAATTAAAAAATTTTACTATATTTTGCAAATCCCGCATGGGTTTTTTAAAAAACTGCGATTTGCCCATCACTAGTAATAGGTGTGTTTAAAATGTTATATATGTATATAAAGAGATTACCTGTCACTATAGGGCTTCACCGAGTCTTATCATAACAAGCTCTGGGTATAATAATTTATAGATCTTTGAATATAATATTAATTCGATATAAAAGGTGTGATAAGCATTTAAAAGTATATATATATGTGAACCTTTTGTTCTTCCATATTCCTTCGTTAAAGTGTTCATTAAAGTGGGAAGAAACACACCAAATCTTTTTTTAATGAAATTTTTTTTAAATTTTTTAGACAAAAACAAAAAAGAATTATGTTCTATTGACACTTCAATATAGGTTCACACTTTGAACGAACGACATGTCCGAAGAAAGATCTAGAATCACATTACGAATCACATTACGTATGTGTTCCTGCTCCAGACAACACCCTTAATTATCAGACATTCCTTTAAACGACTTCATATTTTATTATCGAAATGGTATGTAATTCATTTGATTTCCAATTTACTGAATGAGGGTGTCAATAAGAACTGGCTAATTTAAAGTTAGCATTGGTAGAAATTAGATGTTGTTTTGTTTCAGATCTTAATTATAGACTAGGGATGTATTACATAAATTATTTTGTCACATTTCATGTAAATTACATTGTAACTTACGCAATTGTAATGTAATTTTACATTGAATAGTGCATTGTCCCATGATAATTTTACCAACATTACAAAAGTTTATAGATATCCATAGGGATGTTAAATTGCGAATCCTGTTCAGTCCGATCCTAGGATCTAAAAAGACAGTCCTAGACTTGATCCTTTAAATTACATGAAAATACAATACATTTTATAGAACTTAGATCCTGTATCAGATTCTGAATTGAATCTACTGAATAAGTTCATCCAATCAAGTTAATTTTGTATTGTTATAATAATTCAAATTCAGGATCCAAGTCCTATAAAATGTATTGTGTTGTCATGTGATTTAGGGACTGATCTTGCAGGTCCTTGTTAAGGATTCAGTCCCGAAAGACCAATTAACGTCCTTATTATGTTCGGAATTGATGCCAGGTTATAAAAATCATTCACATAATAAAAATTACATGTAATTTTGATTTCATATTACATCATATCAAAAAAAAAATAAATAAATAAAAAAAAGTAAATACGAAGAAATCTGAGTTCTCAAATTTTTTTTTACAAAAAAAAAAAACATCTGCCAAACGAATGTTTTACTGAAATATATCATATTTTTCAAGATGATCCTCGTTCTTTATTTTTGTATCTCCTAGTAAACCGAAGTTGGTATAGGATTGGCGTACCAATATTTTGGCTGAAATAAACAGTTTTTTGAATGATAAAAGACTTATAAAAATATGTCTTAACATTAAATGCTGAAGAAAAGGCATTATTGATGCCCTTCAAGATTGACCTTCCATCCCATCCAAGACCACTATTTGAGTACACAAGTTATGCTAGGTCCGTTGGCAACGGTTTAAACGTTGGAATCAGAAGCTGGCTCAAGAATTCTGACGATGATGATGAAAGGATAAACAACGCTATTAAATGTTCTTTAATAGCAATGTTTATATGAATCAGCAAGAGTCTCCGTTCGATTAAAATAGACGGGATAGTTTATGATCACGTCAAGACTACCCTTTTAAAAATGATAATATTACAGCACTACTTACAAAGTGCACTACAAATCTTGTTAATTTGGTGGCAATGGATGTTCATAAGAAAACTACACTAACTTCCTAATAATAATCTCAGCGAGCATGTTTTGCCACTGTACTTGGCAAGAACAATACAATAATTTCATTAAACCCCGAAGACAATAACATCGGAATTGTTGGTGCGAGAGAAATCGGAAGTGCATTTTGCAAGTTCTCTCATCTCACTCTTTCTAAAAGGCAATCGATTTGCGATAATGGAGGTTGTGCATTAGCAGAAGTCCTCACAACAAACATTTCTTTAATTATACTAGGTCTTAGCTGTAATAAGATTTTCTGTAAAGGAGCAGAATCAATAGCTGATGCGCTTGACAAGAATACTTCGCTGACCTCTTTGGATCTTGGCTATAATTTTATTTCCTTCGAGGTGCAAAAGCAATTGCAAAGACATTTCATAAAAATACTTTTTAATGTTTCTAGATATTACATTAAATAATATTCGTCTTATGGGAGGGCAAGAAGTTGCCAAAGCACTTTGTAAAAATGCCACTTTAATCTTTTTAAATCTTTCGTATAATCAACTTGAAGATGAGATGGGAACTTCATTAGCAAATACACTTTATAAGAATAATACTTTGACATCTTTGAATCTTTCGCATAATATTATTACTTTTAAGAGTGGAGAAGCATTAGCAGGAGCACTTTGTCAGAATAATACTTTGACTTCTCTAAACCTTTTGTATAATTGTATTACTTCTGAGAATGAAAAGCATTAGCAAGGGCTCTTTATAAAAACATCACTCTAACATCATTAGATATTCTCATAATAACATTGTTATTGAAGGTGATAAAGAATTCTCTAAAGCATTTTATAATAACAATACTTTACTTTCATTTACTTTTAATAATAATAATATTGATACTGAAATGGAAAATTATATATTTAAACACTTTTGTCAAATTTATTCCAAAAAGCATTAAAAGCAGTTTTTGTACTTGAAACTTTATACTAATAATTAATTTTATAATAAATAATCTGTTGATGTCACAATAACTGTTTATTATTATATATATATATACTATTTTCAAAAAGTAAATACATATATTATAATACATCAATAGTAATGATTTCAGAAATTACAAATTCTACAGTAGTTATATTTAATTTTTAAACCGATCTGATAATGAAATAATTGAACAACCAGACTACATACGTATATGCAGTACTGGGGTATTTATATAATAATTAATCAAAAAATTAACAATATGGATTTATTAGGTTATATTTGACCATTTCGTCCTCATGATTAGTGATTTAAGCCAGCTACAGCAGCCATGGCTAAGCCACTCAGCCAGCCAATGTAATATGATCAGCTGGCTAATGCGGCTAAAGACCATATGATTTAGTATAATGTTGTCTATGGGAATTACTAGAACTGGAAGGTCACTAGACTTAACTAGATGGAATTGGAAGCATAATAGCTTTCAGCGAAGAATTTTTATCAGGAATAGAAGTTCCGGTGATGTTTAGTGACTTCCAGTGACTTCTGATTGGCCAATTCGAGTGTGAAAATTGGACCCAGTATAAAATTTAAGATTAATCTAGCTGCTACAACAAAATTGGATCCAGCATAAAATTTAAGATTAACCTAACTGCTGCAACAACTTGTTCTGGCTGTAGAATTACTGAATTATAGCATAGTACGTATCTAATTGCCATAAATATTATATGCTGTAATGCTGTAATGTGTTATGACATTATGGCTCAAAAAAATTACGGCAAATTACAAAATTAAATTTACCACCAATCGATTTTGATTGCTAAGAAGAACGATCAAAATTTTCTGGTCAGAATTACTCATAATTTCATTAATGAAATCACAGCTGCCCATTAAGTGAACTGGGCTAATTTTACGACCAGGGTAAAATTGCTACTCAAAAAGTTTCGAACACCATGTGACAAATATATCGAGCACTAAAAATTCATATAACTTGACAAAAAAAAATACGATCAAAAAAAAATTTAGACTAACAAAATAATAATGATAAGTAATAAATTAATCATTTTATTTATTTCGAATAACTCAATAAATGTGATATTTTTATAGCCAGAAAGTATTATTACAGGTTTCCTAAATATTTGGAATATTTTATTGCCTTTTAAAATAATTATAATCCTTCAATTTATGCAATGGCATAAGGTTTTTATTAATACTATTGAACTATTTGTTACTATTTGGATTCAAATAAATAATCAGAGTTATAATCTTCTGTAAGAGCATTAAAAATAAAATCTACAAGGTTTTCTGGTCAATTGCATTTCTTGATTCACTTTTCATTCAATAGCATTAAATAATCATAGCGATATTTATCAAGATATAGGTAAATAACTTGCAGATCTAAATAAGATAAACAAAATAACAAAACATTAAGCAATCATGAATTAATTTACCAAAAGGCAGGTAATATTAATATGAGGAATCCTTGTTGAATTAGAAATTGAACCAAATAAATGTAGTAACATGGATAATCTCTAATTAATTTACTGATTATATGTTAGTTTTAGTCAATCGATTGGTCGATAATCACATTTAGATCTACAGCAATTAGCCAATCAGGCAAATTCGTTCCAATGAGAAAATTGTTCCAGTAGGTTCAGCAACAATACTGATTTAGTATATAGTTGTGTTTCGGAAAATTCCGGAAAGAAAAATGAATGAACATAAAATTGAGCAGAAAGTTTACGAAATTTTCCAGAAATATGGTATTTGTCATCTGTTAGCCAGCCAAATATCTGATATTTTAGTTGGCTGGCTTAGCCACTGTTTAAAACCTTATGGCTTAAATCACTACTCATAATTATATAATGTGTTTTTAGTCAATAGAACTTAAAAATCAGTGTGTGATGAAAAGGCATTAACTAATTTTCTTACACTTTCTATTGGTTGGAATTGTTTACATATTACCATCATTTTTAAAATGTAACACCTCGATTAGGGTTGGCATTAGGTTTAATAGAAGAAGTTATACTAAAATTTTGCAAGAAATTTTTTTTAGCATACAAAAAATAATTTCTTAAATAAAATTTTGAGATTAAGAATAGGATGGATATAAATTATTTTTCATATAATTTACATAATACAAAAATTTTACACAATAACAAAAATACATTTTTAATAAAATTTTTTAAAATTATAACTAATTTTTATCAAAATTGTGTATTATATAATTTAAAGCTCTTATTTATAATAGTAAAATTAAAAAAAAATTTGTTTTAAACAGTTATACTAGTATTTTATTAAGATTCTTAAAACTAAATATATGTATAATTATATAGAATTTTCCAATATTTAAGTTTAGCATTACTTAGTTACTTTAATGATACCTAAGTGCAACCTGTTACTATCTTAGTTAAAAATAAGCTGCTTATCTAACTGCTTAAAGCTATACTAAAAGAGTCTTTTTTTTTTGTAACAAGCATATTAATTGTCTTCTAAACTTCTTTTTTTATACTAGCAAAATTATAAATATGAAATATTTTGAAAGATTTTATATAGTGTAAAAATTTTAAAATATTGTAAAAGAAATTTTGAAATTTTTATAAAATAAAAATATTTTAAAATAATTTGTAAGTACAAAATATTGCAAAATAAATTTGAAGATTGTAAAATATTTTAAAATATTGTAAAATAATTTAAAATTAATTTGAAATTTAATAAAATTAAAAATTAATAATAGAATTAATATTTAAGCATAATATAGTAAAATTAATTTTAAATAAAATTTTGACTAATAATAAAAAAATTTATTTATTTACGATTTATTATTATTTTATTATTACTTTATTTTTATTTTTATTTTTTTTATTCTTTGACAGCCTTGTCGGAACTTTAATACAAAATTTTACTAATTGAAACATTATCTATTTCTAGTA